AGAGCTGCTCATGTCCACGCTGAGACAGGGACCGGATCCGCTAGTTTGTAGTCTTATTGTCAAATCCATTCAAATCACGCAATTGCCCTAGTTTGTTGTGGTTTTGAAGGCAATTTTGTCCTTTCTATAGTTAAAATTGTTAAATACATGACAAGGTTTTAAACAAACAGAAATTGTGTCAAAGCTTTTAATATTTCCAAATAATTCTGAAGATACATTGGGATGCCGTAATATAAATAGAATATTTAGAGCTCAAAAGGTAACTCTTAAAACTTAAAATTACATTTGGCTGTAGAAAAACGGAAAAATATCCATAAAATAAAAAAAATCGCACAACATTCTAGTTTGCATGTAAACATGCTTGTTTTGAAAAACTTTTCTCAACAAAAAACATGATATGCAACCAGCATGAATGCATAGCATGAAATCATTCAACGATAATGTATTTTGCATTTATGCTAGTTGCATCTCATATTTTTACTGTGCAAAGTTTTTAAAACTTGTTTATAGATTAATTAGTATTTTGAGAATTTTCCACATATTTTCACATTTTCGTAGAGCTAAAACTATGCTTTTTAAAGTTTATAAAGATGTTTTTATGATCTCTGAATATTTTATTCATATTTGTCGCAATGTATTTATGGATTTTATTTAAAATGTAAATTTTAGATACATTTTGTATGGTTTAAATGTATTGCTTATTTACCTAATTGTTTTTAAGTAAAAGAGATAAAACCTCATTCAAAACCGCATTCGAAACCACTCGAATTTTGAAAGTTTTCAAGAATTCAGGGGTTAAGATGTCAAGTTTTGAAGTTGAAGGAGGAAAATCTTACCACCGCAATAATTCTGGGATATAGGGTACTTTTTACAAGACGAAAAATCCGGTTCACTTTGGCTCAAGCCGACATACCAGTAGCATTTGCAGCGTGCTACTACTGATGGCCCAATAGTGGCACATCAGTAACAAACTGCCCCAAGGTCGTTGGTATTAGGCAACATGGTGCACAATAGTTCGATTGATTCATGGGTGGTCTCGTGCAAAGGAGTTCCTGGTCAGGTTTTGCATAATTCGACCAAACCAAAGGAATCACCAGGCCTATTTTGAAAGTACCAAACTCAGCATGGTCTGAAATAATTTAGTTGTAACCAAAACATTTTATTATAATTGGATTGAAACAGGTCATGGATAAAGTACATGCAAGAGCTAGCCATATGGTATTGTCTGCCTCCATGTAACCTCGCTATCCATCGTTGGTGACAATTTTAATCCTATATATTAAATTCAAACAAAAGTTCCATTATCGTGCTCTGCATCAGCTAATCCCATGACGTCCGTGGTAAGCGGCAGATGCTGCTTGGTGGAACACTCACAGTGGCAGAGATTTGGCTTCTCACATTGGGAGTTATTTACCACTAGATGATACTTATTGGCATACTCCAAGCATTTTGTTTGGCAACGCGCCTCAGTGCATCGATGTAAATGGAAATTAAATACGAGAGCTGCATGCATCCACAATTTGACTTTATAAACAAAGCATGAGTGGAATTATTGTAAGTACAAAAATAAGTTATATACTTACAAGGATAGCAGGATGAGAGGGTTGGAGACATAATCATCAGGACAATGCACAGAGCAGCACACTCGGTCCTCATTGTCTTGCTGAGTATGAGTGGCAAGTGGGAAGATCAGTATTGGTGGTATATTTGTTGAACTTGTGTTATGGTATGCATATTGCCTTGTTCGGTCCGGTTTATATACATTCAGTGGCACATCTTAAGGTTGATATATCTATCTACAATGGGGATATATGTATACATGCAGCTGTACATCTTAATATATAATTTGTATCCACAATAGAGATATATATGGATAAAAGCAGTGGCACATCTTAATATTCATATACGTATCCGTTATAGAGATAAACATGTATACTTGCAGTGGCACATATTAATGTAGATATATGTACCCACAACAGATATATAAGTGTCATCATATATATTAATGTTGAACTATCTTGCCAGTATGATTTGATATCTTGTACCAATGAATAAATAAATGTGACACGTCTTAGATCTTGCTTTTACACAACTTGAACCCTCCATACTAAGGATGAGGTATCTCCGTTATAAGTTTCACATCAGGAAAGGTTTCTATTCGTCAGTTGGTGGAAGGATATGTCAAGGTGTAGTCACTAAGTACATATGACGCATACGCTCTCCCTTAAGGGCTGTGTATGCATCCAATGAAATAAGAGGTTAAATGTATAAGATGGCTGCTTCACCGGTTCACATAATCGATCGTGCTGTTGTGGCAAAATCAGTGTTTATGGAGTGGACACAAACTACTGGAAACCCGAATTTCCCTGAGGATTCTCAGAAAACACACAGGAAATTTACATAAGCGACAGGATAATATATTTTTCTCGGCGGTTTCCAGAAAACACACAGGAAAACTAAATAACCAACAGGATAATTACAATTGACCTGTGAGTGCGTGTAACCAACACGATAATTGACCAATGAAATGTGCATTGTTCTGAAAGTTTATGCATTTTCTTGTCGGTTATGGAGATTGCTGTGAAATTAATCCAAATGGGGACACAAGAAATATATTGACCAAGGAAATTGAAGTTTGGACACCTTAGATCAAAATTTGACAAAACCTTACATTTACCACAAGTTGAGGAAATATGGGATTTTGGAAATTTTGGAAATAATTCACTGTTTTTTATAGTTTAAATGAATTTCTGCATACCAATTGAAACAAATTCCAAATTGAACTATGTGTACCTTTAATAAGATTGAAAAAATTACATAAAAATATATTTGGGTTCATATGGTCCATTCAATAGCTTGTGGTGGAGATAGATCAAAAAGTCAATTGTTGTGTAGGTATAATTCAACCTTCTATCTCCATATTACTAAAAATTAATTGTAATTCAAGTCAAGCTTACATTTTCCCTATAGGTTATCGATCTTCATATTATCAAACAAGGCAACTAGTCTATAGCATCATATCTCTCTAACCTTGAGACCGACAAGGCTACAGATAAAACATCGATATTGTATATGATATGCCTGTGTAAGAACAGCTAGAAAGGCATTATGATTACATAAGATAAAATCTTGTAGTGCGAGAGAACTGCAGCTCCCACATTTCCTGATATTCTGCTGAACATGTTAGGTTTATTTGTGCAAAATTAGCCCTCAACTGGGTCTCAAGGGTTTGATTGAGCATTGATTTAATTCAGTTTGCAATTCAGAATTATGTTTTTAATATTGTTGAATACTACTGGATTCAAGTCAGTAATGCTGAAAATCTCAACCCTTGTGTGTCGAATATATGCCACAATCCATTTTTTGAAAGTTGCAACAAGCCATTTTTACTGTGAGCAGGCACATTCTCAATTATAATGTGATAGTCTAGGAGATCTAGCCATAACATTATCAGATGACAGCTGATATCACAGTTCATACATAGCGAAAGTACAAGTTTACACAGTATTACAACACTTTGCAACACACCTAATTACATCGTTGTACTAGCGGAAACGCATAGGGGCTTCATTAGAGTAGACGTAGTGCGCCGGCGGGTGAAGGCTCCTCCTTCATGGACTATCATCAAAGTAGGCATAGATCCTCAGCGGGCGTAGACTTCATCTTCATATCCTCAACCAAACTTGAGCGCAGGAATGAGACCATCTACTCCTAATCTTCATTGATGTCATCGTCGACGGCATCCAAAACCAGCCAAATATCTTTCAATACGATTTGTACTGGACACTGGCTGCCACCCTATGCTTTGTGTTTGCTTTGTGGTAAGTGGAACGCAAGTGTAGAGCAAAAGGCCTATATACTACTGTTGGTTTTTCTATGCAAGTTCATCAATATTTTATAATTGTTCATCAAATTTTAACCCATCTCATCTACACGTTCACCCATCCCATCACACACATCTCACCACACGCTCACTCGCTAGGCGGCAAGGACAACTCCCTCTCGTGCCTTGCCTCAATGGCTCACATCGGAATCCAAGAACAACCCAGGGGGAAGAAGAAGAAAGGACTCCTCTTTCTAGTCAAGTGAAGCAGTAACATAGGAATGGCCCATAGCCGTGAAAAAGGCGGCTTATGTATTGATCGATCAACCAAAACTCTATAGAGGTTTACACAATCTACATGGTAACCATAATTGACGCTGATCACATGTCTAGGCAGATGCCGTGCTTGCTTCCTAAACTGGAATGATACCACCCTGCCACTCAACCCTAAGGCACCCTAGATCGAACACCGGCACGCTGAGACTGTCAGATGTAGTACCGGGCCCAACAGTGGTACTACGTATCTAGAAAGGATCGGGTTCCGACGCCCTCACCTCCCACACTATCAACTACAACCTAGCAGTAATGGCATCACCCCAGGTTAGTCCACAGCCGTCTCCTTATCCCATGGAGCAAGTGGCATGTAGTTCCTATGAACTGGTTCCCAGAACATATCAGTCCTTAGGGTGACTAGACAAGACATCTTCACAAGGGGATCCAGCACCCCGTGCTTCAACAGCTACCATCTTTGAAGCTAGTTGCCCCTAATTCTAATGGCTTGTTGTCCAACTACATTTATGTTATGCAAGGAAACTGTCATACTGAATTCTTATACACCGAAGCACTTAGATGGATTGAATCCAATTGATTCATGGGTGGTCTCATTCAAAGGAGTTCTTGGTGAGGTTTTGCATAATTGGACCAAACCCAAGGAATCACCAGGCCTATTTTGAAAGTACCAAGCTCAGCATGGTCTGAAATAATTTAGTCGTACCAAAACTTTTTATTATAATTGGATGGAACAAAAGTATAGGAAAGATACACAATCATTTTATTATAATTGCATGGAAACAGGTCATGGATAAAGTACATGCAAGAGCTAGCAATATGGTATTGTCTGCCTCCATGCAACCACGCTATCCATCATTGGTGACACTTTTAATCCTATATATTAAATTCAAACAAAAGTTCCATTATCGTCCTCGGCATCAGCTAATCCCATGACTTCGGTCGTATGCGGCAGATGCTGCTTGGCAGAACACTCACAGTGGCAAATATCTGGCCTATCACATTTGGAGCACTTTGCCACTTTGTTAACCTTACTGGCATACTCCGAGCATTTTGTTTGGCAAAGCGCTTCAGTGCATCCAGGTAAATGGAAATGACATACCGGAACTGCATGCATCCACAATTTGACTTTATAGACCACGAATGAGTGGAATTATTGTAAGTAAAAAAGAAGTTATATACTTACAAGGAAAGCAGGATGAGAGTGTTGAAGACATAATCACCAGGACAATGCAAAGTGCAGCGCGCTCGGTCCTCATTGTCCTGCTGAGTACGAGTGGCAAGTGGGAAGATCAGTATTGGTGGTATATTTGTTGAACTTGTGTTCTGGTATGCATATTGCCTTGTTCAGTCCAGTTTATGTACATGCAGTTGCACATCTTAAAGTTGATATATCTATCTACAATAGAGATATATGTACACATGCAGTGATACATCTTAATATATAATTTGTATCCACAATAGAGATATATATGGATACAAGCAGTGGCACATCTTAATATTGATATATGTATCCATAACAGAGATAAACATGTATACTTGCAGTGGCACTTCTTATTGTTGATATATGTATCCACAATATTGATATAGGTATCAACAACAGAGATATCTGTATCCTCATATATTCATGTTGAACTATGTTGCCCGTATGATTTGATATCTTCTACTTATAAATAAATATAAATGCGACACATCTTAGATCTTGATATTACATAACCTGAATCGTCCGCATTAATGCTGCGGTATCTCAATTATAAGTTTCACATCGGGAAAGGTTTATTCATGCGTCCAATGGAAGTGTTGGTGGAAGGATATGCAGTCAAAGGTGTAGTCACAAAGTACATATGATGCATATGTTCTCCATTAAGGACTGCGTACGGATCCAATGAAATAAGAGGTTAAATGTTAAGATGGCCGCTGCACCCGTTCACTTATGTATACAAGCAGTGGCACATCTTAATGTTGATATATGTATCCACAATATAGATATAAGTATCCACAACATTGATATATGTATCCTCATATATTAATTTTGTACTATCTTGCTTGTATGATTTGATATCATCTACCAATAAATAAATAAATAAATGCGACACATCTTAGATCTTGATATTACACAACTTGAATCCTCTTAATGCTGATGTCTCTCCATTATAAGTTACACATCAGGAAAGGTTTATTCGTGCGTACAATGGAAGTGTTGGTGGAAGGATATTCAGTCAAAGATATAGTCACTAAGTACATATGATACATATGTTCTCCCTTAATAAGGACTATGTATGCATCCAATCAAATAAGAGGTTAAATGTTTAAGATGGTCGCGGCACCCATTCACTTATTCGATCTTGTTGTCGTGACAAAATCAGTGTTCATGGAGTGGACATGGGCACTGATGTCAATGTCACTACTTCACAACCAATCATATGGAGAATTTATTCTCCAATGACTCTAGATTGACATCGCAACAAGAACTAAGGAAAAAACTAGGATTCAAAACTTCTTCGACTATACTTGTGTTGACCCTTGAAAGAACTAGAAGATGTGTGAGGAAACTTTGAAGCTTTTTTTAGCATGATTAAAGATTTTGGTGTTGAGGTAAATTTAGAAGCGTTTCATGTTTGGACATATACTTTATCATGGACCACCTAACACGACAAACCTAATCTAACTTGAAAGAAATGACGAGTTTGTGTCGGCAGTGCTTTTAGACTATCAGCACTCTTTAGGTCTGGAATGGGCTCACCCAACCTCCCAAATATGTTGAAAAAGATACAAGTCTATACAAACCCATCTATGTAGTCTGATTTTCCACTTCAAACTCCAAACCAAGATTTGTTACCCCGAATCTTTCAAAACCATTCAAGTTACCTCCCTGCCCTTATTTGCACTTGTTTTGAAGGCAGTTTTGTTCCTTGGAAGGGGCGCAAGGCCCAAGGTTGCCAAAGACGGGGTTGACTTCCTAGTGCTGCCATAGCGCCCTCCTCCATGCTAGCCTCCACAGGCGAACGACAAATGTGTCCTGGCCTCCTCTGTGCCATCCTGTAGAGTGATGGCACACACACCATGTCCCTCTCCATGTGAGAACTGAGAGAAACTACATTACAAATGGTCATTGCCGCACCCTTAGCACCCTCATTTATTACAAAATTGGTGGCCAAACTATTTCAACCCTGGTTCCAGGGCCGATAAGCTGTAGTGGCCCATTGAACTGGCGGTGAAAAGAGCTGATCGCTGTCTCATCATTTGATTCAGTGGTGATAATCGTGGTGGCTTTCGTTCTGGGAAATTTTGACCGCCGGCCCAAAAGGGTGCAACATGATATTTGACCAGCAACAAAAAAAAATGTTTTCACCATAGGCTCACAGTTGGTGGTTCTATTGCTGGCAGTTAACATTATTTTACCGCCAAATCTCTTGATGGGTTGGCAGACAAAACAAGGCTAGCTACAGCAAAATGTGATAAGTTGTGCCCATTTTTGGGGCCTATTAGGACGGCCTTTGAAAGAGAGGAAGGATGGATTAGCGTTCGTGTACCATCATGACTGTTTGTGAATTATCTTTCCACCTTCTCAAACTTGGTGTCCACCGAGTACCAAGACCCGCTCTATCATAAATGCTACCGGGAAGCCAAAGGGGTTAACCCAATTCTCTAGAAAATTGACACCATCCACCCTATGGAACCACCACTTTTCTTTCTTCACCCCATTCCTTCCCCAGTAACTATGATGGGCTTCAAGAACCCCGACATTGACTCCTCAAGCAAGGAAGAATCTCAGTGCTGGAGAATGATGGCAATGATGGCTCAATCGACAACCGCCCGCCTAGGTCTCCATGGACGACAAAAGATGCGCGAGCTCTAGTACGGTGACACGGAGGAGGAGCAAGAGAGGAGGAAGGGAAGGACGAGGACGAGGAGGAGGCGGAGGACAGTGAGGTGGAGGAGGAGGAGGAGGAGGCCCACGACAAGCCTCCATCAAAGAGTCAGAAGAAGGATCCTTGTTCCGACATCGAGGATTCCATTTAGATTAGATTAGTTTTCAAACTATATATATGAATTCATTTTAGATTATGTGACTTAATGAATTAGAATTGCTTGAGAATCGCCATATCATTGGATGTTTGTTCTGATAAAATGAATGCTTCATACGGTGACTGCCTTGCGTCATCTAGAGCAATCTCGGCCATCTGTGTGACTCATATAAATAAAAGGCATGGTTCATCGATCTGTGCGCCCTCCCCTCTCGACGATGGTTCCTGCTGGCATCACCACCAAGGGCTGCATAATCCGCCCCAACCGTTGTGCCCAACCAAGGGACTTGTTACCAATAGGTGTTTGTCCCTACCATCACATCTGGTTGGTGCTTCTTCCAGATCCATACCCTTGCAGAAGCCTACCTTCTTGGACAGTGATTGTCACCGTAGCCCATTGCTGACTGCCAGCGTGAAGACCCAACATCGATGGTTACTTGACTTTACCACCGCAAATGTACATCTTTACCTTTGCAATTTTTACCAATACAATCAACTACATCGGGCTACATCTTGGTGCTTTCCAGTCTTTTGACGTGCTGGCCCCTTCCACTACTTGGAACGAGTGGAGGTCTTGCGGCCTTCTCAGTAGGCTCATCTTTTAAGGCTGGTATGGTGGCGGAGGATAATCGAAGGTCACTTCATGCACGCTGCTTCAGGTCACCCGCTTGCGATGCATCCTACAAAAGAATTCTCGACGTGAAGCAATTTCGTGAATGGGCAAGAGGGAGTCGGCTGGAAGGTGCTTTCCCCAACATAAGTTTAGTTTGCATGGTCTGTCATTTGAGACTATGAGCAAACTTCGGATCTTGCATGCGCCGACCTGGCTGCCAAATATTTTTAAAAATTAAAAGTCTATGCTATCTTCCTGAACTATAGTCATAGTACGATTTTTCCTTCATGAGCTCAAAACCTAGAAAACTTACCCATCTCAAAACCATTCAAATTACCTACTTGCCCTAGTTTCGAGTGGTTTTGAACCTAATTTTGTCCATTTTGTAGTTAAATATTTTTAAATAGTTGACAAGGTTTTTAAGAAACAGAAAATGTTTCAAGGCTATAAAAGTTCCAAAAAGTTCTGAAGATACATTGCGATACCACAATCCAAATACCATATTTCAAGTTAAAAAATAACTCTAGAAACTTAAAAAAATATATTTAGCTCTAGAAAAATGGGAAATATCCATAAAATAAAAAAGAATCGGGCAACATTATAATTGATGAGCCTGTTCGCCGGTTGGTTTCTAGGCTGATAAGCCCGGCTAGTGCTGGTTTGTTGTGAGAGGAAAACACTGTTGGCTGGCTGATAAGCCCTGACTGAAACCAAGCAACAAGCGAACAGGCTAGATATCTAAACGTGTTTTGAAAACTTTTCTCAACAAAAAAACATGTTATGCAACAAGCAGGAATCCATAGCATGAAATCATTCTCCATTAATGTATTTTTGCATTTATGCTAGTTTCATCTCATATTTTTGCCATGCACTATATTTTTAAAACTTGTTTATAAATTAATTAGAATTTTCTAGATTTTTCTAGATATTTATTTCCCATTTTTGTAGAGCTAAACCTAATTATTTGATGTTTACAAAATGTTTTTATTACCTATAAATATTTTATTCAGATTTGTCCCAGTCTATTTATAGATTTTATAAAAAAATAAAAGTTTAGAGACATTTTATATCAATGTATCCTACTTATTCACCATTTTTTATTTGCTAAATATAAAACCTTTGAAATAAACCGTCCAGATTTACTTGAAAGTCTTCTCTCTCACTACTCAATCAAATCCAACGGTGGAGATTGTGTGTGTCAACGTCCTTATCCTCTGCCGCGCAAGCCGCACGTCCATCCCTCTCGCGCACGTATCCGACCACTACCAGAAACAGAGACTTTGCCGTGTGCCACAAGCACTCAACAAAGACCAAAAAACACTCGGCAAAGGCTTTGCCAAGTGTAACATTTGGCAAACAGCACACGACATCTACAGTGTCGGCAAACAGCTATTTGCCGAGTGTTTTTTATCGCGCACTCGGCAAATGGTTTGCCGAGTGTCAAATTTGACACTCGGCAAAAAAAGTGGTTTGCCGAGTGTTTTTCCAAAATACACTCGGCAAAGGATTATTGTTTGGATCTGTTTGCTAGTTTTAATCCTTTCCCATGAAGCAGCTAGCTAGCTAGCGTATACCATCAGTTGTTTCTTGTCATTTCAGTCAACAGAGAGGCCACAAAGTGCAGTTAAATATCTTATCATGAATAACACACTGGAATAGCTATAGTCTTAACCGTCGTGATATGGTCATGTGCATCAAGCTAAACCATCAGAACAGTTGTTCTGACACACAAACTACAGCATGTCCATGGTATATAATTAGAAACCCAGGTACATGTAAGCTCTATACACATTACAACTACATCAGACCAGAAACTGAAAGTACTCAGAAAGCAATGGCAGAAAATAAATATAATTCAGGTTACTATAATTCCTTACTCTAGCAGCCAACTGATATGCATTGAACAAAAAACTGATGTGCAAGCAGCTAAGCACAATAACTAGAATAGAAAGGATCCACTTATTCCAAATAAATGAGAGTAGGCATGGCAGTCACCTTACTTGAACACATTACAATTTTTTAGTAAGAAAATCAGATATGTAAACGTTGTTGTATATTCTCCATGAGTTTCAAAGAAATTAACCAAAGCTACAGACTTGCTCATAAATTTTGAAAGGCAAGCATTGATCTTTTTACTGTAGTATGAAAATGGAATGGCTCATAAATTGAATACACACATTGACTTGCTCTGAATGATAATGCAAACCTGTAGCTGAACCAAGTAAATATTGATGCTACTAGCAGGTTGACAGAAACACTAGCAAGAGAATATAGTTAAATGTCCAAACAAGATTAGAAACCAAGTAATGATTAATGACAAGGACTAAACCAAGTAAAGATTAGAAACACTAGTGTGCTCTATCTGTTGCCTATAGATTGTTGACTACAAAAATAATTTAATATTATTACACCTAGTAGGCACTTAAAATAGAGAAGACAAAACAGCATGAACATCAGACATGTATAGGTCAACTAAGAGCAAAAATGAAGTGCAGAGAGTTATCTTACATGTCACTTTCATCTTACTTAAGCATAACTGGGTATCTCTGTTTTTTTATCAACAATGGCATACAAAAAAATAAGGACCAACATCAAGGCAGGTGCTATCTCTGCATACCATGATCTAACTTGAATGATGATAGTGCATATGTACAATAAAAATCAGTTTTGTAACTCAGGTCTTGATTTGCAGTGTTGCACAAAGTAAAAAAGGTGGAATTAGAAAGAACCATACTCCTAAGACACTAAAGCCTATATGTTACTTCATACAATGTTGCCTAACGTATGTGTGTGTGGGAGAATATAAGAGCTTCAGAAAATATAAAAAGCATCCGACATTTAGGCCCTGTTTGGCATGACTCCAACTCTGGGTGGAGCTGCTCCACTCCATAACTCCAGGTGGAGCCAGCTCTGGGTGGAGTTGGAACTGTCTGATAGAGGTGTTTGGCTGGGAGGGTACCTTCAGCTCCAAAAAGACAACTTTTAGGATGAATTGCCATTGTTACCCCCAACTCACGTCCCCACATGTCAGCCTCTCCACCCTGTCTTCTTCTTCGACAGGACAAACGACGGCGAAGTCCTAGAGATTCCATCCCCATTAATCAGGACGAACGACGGCGAGGACGAGCAGCAAGCGCTGATAACAAACACGTAAGGCAAGGAGACAGTTGGAGGTTACCGAAGAAGTCGAGTAGGTTGTGGCCGTTGGAGTATCGGCCGGAGGGGCGGCCGAAGAAGGTCTGGCCGGAGGGGAGGTTCCGCGTGGGGTCCGGGAAGTCGTCAGGCACGGAGAGTAGGAAGTTGCCGGTATCCGTGAGCGAGTCCCCGAAACTGAACACCGGGTCGAAGCAGACGCTCCCTCCTCCCGCTCCTGCTACCGCCGCCGGCACCGCCAACACCACGAGCACCCCCGCGAAGAGCAGAGCCGCCCGCGACGGAAATGCCATTGTGAAACGACGGGCCGTGCAGATCTGGAGCAGAGGGCGGGTTCTGCGGCAGGCGGCCGGGCGGGGCTAGGAGACCAGCGGTGGGCCTAGGGCGGCTGGGTGCGGGGCTCGGCTGGACGGCAGCCGCCGGTCTGCCTGGCGGCAGCGGAAACGGCGCCGGTCCTAGAAGAGTCAGGACGGAGATCCCCCGCGGGAATGGGAAAATGGGATGCGCGGGGAGACTCGGAGAATAGAAGCGAAACGTTTTTTCATGTAACCAGTGGCATTGGTGGGTAATTACCCATCAACTCCACGAGGAGGTTCAAAAGAGAGGGTTATAGAGCAGCAAAAGAGGTGCTCCAAAACTCCACCTCCATTTGCACTATAGCTCCATGGAGTTGGCAGCTCCATAAAGTTTTGGAGTTGGGGTGTTTAGCTGGATTTTTTGATGGAGTTGCTGGAGTTTAGGAGTGGAGCCATGCCAAACAGGGCCTTAACATCCGGCAACTCTCTCTATATTGCTTCCAGGAATTATAAACCTGATTAGGGTGAATATACCACTAGTAACTTCAGTACATTGATCCAGATGTATAGGATATGTCACCAGTTAAGCAATCACTATAGGTTCCTGGAAAACTAATTAGGACACCAACAAATATATGTCATAATAATATTTATAATACAGGGAGTCGTGTAAAAAAACTGACGTAATGCTTGAGTACATATGTGCATTGGGCAGAACCAGTTAAGTGAAACACCTAAAGCACAAGCACTGGCAGGTAGCAGCCATCACAGGTACCTGCAGCCCTGCACACATCAACCAAGAGGTTATGAACTGCTGGGAAAGGTGGCAGCAGTAAGTGTAAAATGGTAAGAAAACTTGCTTATATGGTCCAATAAATTAATACAAACCTACTTGTAAAATTCAGAAGCAGGATGCACACTGCCGAAAGTGTCAAGATCATCTAGAAGCTTATATGGATAAATAAATGAAACTATTGTTTATGCTAACTCTGAACTTTATGTTTGAATAGGAACATGTATCCTCACCGTGCAAAAAGAAGTGTAAAATTGGAGCTAGTCCGTAAGCTTGCAAAAGTCAGAAACCATTAGCATCGGCCTCCACTAACTGTTGGATGAAAGATTCTCTCTTAAGCGAATGCTAAATTGCTAGCTACATATACTTAAAGTTAAAGAAGGTGCAATGAATTTATGGGCCTGAACTGGCATTTCATCAAACATCTAGAGTTCATGCACTGGAAGGACAGAGAAGCAAGCACAGGAAAATAACCTTGTGCGTCGCATGGTCCACGACACGACAACGGCGACAAGAACATGGTAGTGGACGGCGAAGGTGGCCACAACCATCTCGGCCTCATCCTCCTGCGCCACCGCTTCCTGGGTCCGCACTGTCGCCACCAATGCTGCCACCACCACAGTCGCCTCTCCGGCCTACAATGCCGCCGCAGCCGCCTGGGACCGACGCCTCCCACACTGATCTGCGCCGCTGCCTCCTTGGTCCGAATACAAAGTTAGTAGGCATAATACATGTACACACTTGTGATTACATCAGATCCGAATACAAATAGCTAAATAGCTCAAGTTAGGGTTCCGGTGCTCAATTTGGCACAGCAGAAAGGGAAGAGAAGGAGCGGGCATACCTAGTGTGGTGGGTTCTCATCACCGGCAATGGGCCCGAAGAAGACATGGGAAGCTCGGCGTAGGGCGGTGGCGGTACCTGACGGACGGGCACCACGTCCTGCCTCTTCTCGCCCGCTGGCGGCAACCACGCCGAGGCCAACATGGTGCCCTTCCGTGTGGAGGAGGGAGGCGCTGACAGCCGAATCTGGAGGAGGGAGGCGGATCGGTGGAAGGGAAATGAGCCCTAACCTCGAAGAGCCGGCTGAGATCGGACAGATCGGCCTTCTTCGCTTGTTGCGATGCCGCTGGAGAGGAGGGGGCGGACGCATCTCCGACGCCGACGAGGGGGCCGTCACCGCCTTCGACGGTGAGGTCGCTGAGGAGATCCCCAATGGTGAGCAGTGGACCTCCGACTCCACGAATCTAGTTTTTTCCTTCCATACAGGAGAGGAGTGGGACGCGGGCCTAGGGGCCGGCGGGGCCGGGCGCCGGCGGCGGCGGCCAGGGGCAGGGGGCGCCGAGGATGGGTGTGCATGTGTGCGTGTGCGGCGCGGGTGGGTGTGTGCGTGTGTGGCTGTGTGCGGCCGGATGCGGGGTATATGAATGGGGGTTTGCCGAGTGTCCCAGATCTGACACTCGGCAAACCCATTCTTTGCCGAGTGCCAGACCAAGGGCACTCGACAAATCCAGTTTTTTTTTTATTTTCTTTCTTTTCCTTCTTTTCCATAACGTATTTTTCTAAATTTGTTCCGATGTACTTTGAAAATATCTTGTCAAATTCACTCAACAATATATATTTGATTTCTGTACGAATATTATTCCATTATTTTATGCCGTTATAGCTCAAATTCAATTTATATCAATTAAAATTTTATAATTGTACTTAATAAATTAAAATTATCAAATGGATCCCAAAAAATTATCAAAATTTCACATGAAACAATCTATGTTCTCTATTGCCTATACAAAAAGTTTTGAAGTCAAACCCCAATTTGACCATCACTTTGACTCCAAATCTTACCGAATCCTTCTCAACGCTACTATTCTTCTTCTAAGATGTTTCGGTTTGTAAACATCGTACGTGACAAAACGTGCAAAACCTTATCAATTTTACCACAATCTCCACGTATGATACCATCACATCATGACAAATCTCATGATTTTCAAACTTCGTTTGCTTTTTTTAGAATTTAAAAACCATTCGGCCACACATTCGTGGTCGTGTTTCCTGAACGAGATGTTCGAAATTTCTTTTCATTTCCAAGGTAAAGCCTCACACTGGACTCAATAACATGACTATCATTTTTCTACTCATTTTATTCTATTATTTGAATCATTTGCAGTTCAAATTTGACTTAAACCAAAAAATTTCTTGAAATACAATAAATTAATTAAATATAGCAAACAGATCCAGAAATATACCAAATTTTAACATGGAGTACCATATGTTGTATGTGCAGAGTAGAAAAAGTTTGAAGATCAGAAGAGAAAAAAAAACTTATTTCTTTGCTAAGTGCCAAAAAACACTCAACAAAGAGCTGGTTTGCCGAGTGCTAAAAAAAACACTCGGCAAACCCCATTCTTTGCCGAGTGTCTTTTTGGCACTCGGCAAACCCCCTTCTTTGCCGAGTGTTTTTTTTGCACTTGGCAAACCTGTTTTTTTTGCCGAGTGCAATTATTTTGCCGAGTGTTTTTCGTACAGCACTCGGCAAAGAGCTTGTTTGCCGAGTGCCCGAAGGATTGCACTTGGCAAACTCCCTTGCACTAGGCAAATTGACTATTTCCGGTAGCGGACACGCGACGGTCAAGGTTCCATCCCTTCTCCCTCCGGGGAAAAAAAAGAAAAGCGAAAAAAACCCTGCGGCCGCACATCTTACCAACACCCCTGCCCTCCAGCCGCGTCGACGCCGCCCCGTGCACCGCCCGACCACCACGTGTTCGTGCCGGGCAGGTTGTGGCCACCCACAGCAGCGCGTGGCCGGAGGCGGCGACCATGGCGCGGGCAGCCGGAGATCTCGTGGTGGAGGCGGCGGGTGGGGAGCGAGAAGGAGATTCGAGCGCCTGAGGGAGTCACAATCACCCGGGGGCGGGAGGAGGTGGCGACGACGAGTAGGGCATGCAAGGGGAGTGGGGAGAAATAGAGGCCGTGGCGGTGGGAACGGTGGGCGGCGGGCGGAGCCACCGGCGCCGGTTCCAAAAAAATCGCAGATTCTTTTTCGTGGTGACCCGGCCAGCGGCCGCAGACTCGCCACGCTGCGCGTGTTTCGGGGGCGCGCGAGGGTGGGATCGGATGGGGACAGCAGGGAAGGGTGTTTGGGTGGTCAGTGGGAGGTGGCCAGCGGGCGGCGGACCTGCCTAGAGCGCCCGTATCTGGAGGCCAGGGCGTGGGCGTCCAGCTGGCCCCACGTGGCCGCGCCTGCACATGCCTAGGTCGACCTCTAGGCTAGCAGCGGACGAGCAGGTCCTAGAGTTGGGGCTGGGGATGGGGATGACATGCGCCCAAGATCATATCGGCTGGTGACGTGTTGAGTCTCCCAGCATTAGGTTCCATCGTGAGCCCTTCTCCGCATGGCGTTTTTGTGTTCTTCAATTTTTTGACTGTCTATTTCTTTTTTACGTAGTTTAATTTTCATTAGTGGAATATTGTTTTTGCTCTCCTCATGAAAGAAAATTCTGCTCTATTTTTCTTCAACTCTTGAGTGATTGCTACAAATTTGACTCCCATATTTGCGATGTGTTCTTCAGGTCATTGACTTATGCACTAATTTGTTTGGATTTGCGATTCTGGTAAGAAGTTGCAGGTGGTGAGTGCTGAAGGTGACAATGGTGATCTTAATCGCAACAAGAGATGAGTCACACTCACACGTGTTAGGATCGATGATTACCTCTCTGTGTGTAACCGTAGATCCAGTAACCCTACTCGCCTTTCTCTGTTGCGACGCAGCAGCAGCGTAGACGCCGGTGCCATGGCGTAGTAAGCGTCCAATGTAGAGACAGCTCCGGCTCGGTGTAGTCCTCGCGGACGCCGGTGCTCGGCGCGGCCGATGAGGAGACGAGGTGGCGATCCAATGGTGGTCCCGTGGCCTACAGAGGCAACGGCGGTCATCGGTGGGCACATCCCGTCGCTAGCAGCACCTCTTTAGGACCGGATTAGGGTTTTCTATGGGTGGGATGGCGGCTCCAGTGAACCTCTTTATGCGAGCCTTGACCCCCACCTTCCTTTTATGTGTGCTGTGCGACAGGGGCCCACCAACCATATTAGGGTTGGGCTCCCCCGATCAGGGAGCAGAGACAAGGGCCCAATAGGCCGTTGGGCCTATTAGTGGAGATCATCTAACAACACGTACTTAATTGACTGTTGAATACTTGGGTGGCATTAG